TTTGAGATACAAAAATGGCACAAGGTGGCCTGGGGCAATACCCTAGTGCTAGATCTTAATCATGCATCTGCCAGGCTCTCATATGGGTGCTGGTTTGTACCCCAGCTGCTCCCAGCCAGCTCCCTGCTTGTGGCCTGGGAAAGCAAGAAAGGATGACCCAAAGCTTTGAGACCCTGCACCCATGTGATAGACCTGGAAGAAGCTCCTGACTCCTGGCTTTGGATCGGCTCAGCTCCAGCTGTTGCAGCCACTTGGGGAGGGAACCAGTAGATGAAAAATATTTCTCTCTGTATATCTACTTCTTGATTTAAAAAATAAGTAAACAAATCTTTAAAAACAAGGGTAGTAAACACTTGGACAATCATACACTATTTTCACAGGAATTATTATAGGAAATGCAGCCACTGGTATTTGAACTAGCATTTGTGGATGCCGGCTACTTGACTTGTTGCCTCACAGTGTTGGCATCCTACTTTTTTATTCTGCCTGGGTACATCCTTTAAAATCCTCTGATGAGTATCCATCAATGAAGGTCATCTGGTCAGTGCAGAGCTGAATATGACCTAACATGTTTATAACCAACTACAGCTCTTCACAGTGACCCACAGCAGCTCTGTGAACTCTAGAGATCAAAAGAACATAATGCAAAAACCCACTAGTTTAAAGGAACACCAGCTAATATTCCTGTTGTGTATCCTGGTCATCCCTTAACCTCCTTGTTATGCTGTTGTCCTCAGTTCCTGCTAAGTAATTATTACAAACTGCACATTTTTTACCTGAAATTACATTTCACACATTTCAACTCTTATATTCACTCTCCTGAAACTTTTTTTTTCATTAAAGGCCTGTGTTGCAGGGAAATCTTCCATCCACTGACTTACTTCCCAAATGTCCTGCTCACAGCTTCTTTTAATTCTGCCACGTGGCTGCAAGAGTCCAAATATATAGAACATCTTCCACTGTTTCCTGGGTGCCCTAGCAGCATCTGGATCAGAAGTGGAGCAGTAAGACTCGAGTGGGCACGCATATGGAAATGCAAGCATTGAAGGCAGCAAAATTCCTGCAACAGTGCAGTGATGACCCCAACCTTTCCAGCTAAGGTTTGATAAGGTTTCTTATCAAAGTGGCAGAAGACTGCCCAAGTGCTTGGGCCCTTGCATCCATCTGGGAAGTGCAGATGGAGATCCTTGGTTCCTGGCTTGAAAGCAGCCCCGGGGGAGCCACCGAGACCTCTCTGAGAGTGAGCCAGTGAAAGCAGCCCTGGGGGAGCCACCGAGACCTCTCTGAGAGTGAGCCAGTGACAAAAACCTTTCTCTTGTCTCGCCCTTCTCTTTCTGCATGCATGCCAGAAGGCATGAGGCACTGCAAGAAAAAATAGTTTTTATACTGGAAGTTCAAAGCTATCAATAAAAAAGCTGGAGAGAACAGAAAGATGGACAGCATGCGTGTGAACGCACACATGCACGCCAACCGCATCTATCTGAAGACGGGCTCAAAACTTATGATGACCACTACATTTTAAACTTCCCAATGAGACACCTCCAAAGGATTACACAAACCTTTGGTTGACAACTCACCAACTGCTTTAGAAAATGACAATTATTTTCCAAACATTAAAAATCCTTAGAACCCATTTCTCTCCATAACTGAGGAAAAGAATGGCCGGATACACATCTGAAAACGTTTACTGGCTTTGTAACTCACTTTCCCAATACAAAGTATTTTCCCCATCACTCTCATTTCTGCTGAAAATATCCTATGAGATCAATAAACACAACTGATACTTCACCTTTTGATGAGGAAACTGAAACATAAGAGTGATGAAAATTACTTTCATAGGGTGCAGTCTATTTTAGAACCGCTTACTTGTTTCAGACCCAAAGGTCACATCACATGAGGGTATGCATTAATTTAAAAAAATGCCATAGAGCTATTTGTGGATTCCGGAATTGCCAAAGTTCTCAGCTGAACCATGAGAGAATGTGGATGGGCCTCCTGGGATTTACGGATTACTGAGACCACACAAGATGCCACGAAGAGAGCTTGAGCGTTCACACACTTCAGTTTCGACTTGTCTCATGCTGTGGTATGTATCACAGAAAAGGTAGATACATAAGCAATGTCGTAGCACTATTTCCAAAAAATGTTATTGTTTAAACATATTTCTGCTCACATGATAATTACATTTTAGTAAAAATAAAATGCAGGTGGCAGAAAACATGAAGTCCACTGGATCCAATGAACTCTGTGACTCAAGGATAAACTGCTCATGGCTATGGGTTTCAGTTCCCATTAAAGCTAAGGTGGGATTTTAAATGTTGGGGATTAATCAATGACCTGATCAGGATTAACAATCACGCCATCCTATTTTGCAAATGATTTTGCAGGCCAATAAGAAAAGCTTCTTTTAGTGTGAAAGACCAAAGGGGGTTGGTGGGGGGAGGGGGGGGGGGGGAGAACACACTAATTTCATTCTGTATTTTAAATGTAAAAAGATCATGAGGAACAACTAAACCTTCTACACACGAACCACCAAAACATCACAGGAGAAATAACATTTCTTACAGAAACACCATGGAAAAGCAGGGGTTGCAGACAGCTCTGTCAAGAGGATTGGCCAGTGTTGAGACGTAATTTTCTGCCTACAATACCGGAAGCCCACGCAGGAACTGGTTCATGCTGACTTATACACAGACCCCTAATAAAGAACCTGGGAAAGCAGCAGCAGATGGCCCAGGTCCTTGGGACTCTTTATGAATGAAACTCCTGGCTTCAGCCTGGCTCAGTCCTGGTCCATACTCTCTCTCTACCTTTCAAATAATCATTTTTAAAAATCCCATTTTTAAAAATCTCATCAAAATAATTGAAACAACGAAGGAAGGACTGTTTCTAGGAAATTTTCTTTGCATTAATAAGATTTTAAAAATGCTTTTTATTTATGTGAGGCACACACATAGAGCAAGAGAGAAAGAAGGACAGAGATACTCAGCTAATTTCCATTCACTGGTTTAATTCGCAAATGCTTGCTCAAAAAAGCCAGCAGGCCAGGACTCAGACACCCCCATGGGTGTGGCAGGAACCCAATTATGTGACTTAACAGCCCCACTTATTGCAAATGTGCCTGAAATTTCATACGTGTATAAAAGGACTCCTGAAAGAATTTCTGTGTTGAAACAGAAAGCAGGATGGTTCGATGGGCTTAGACACTGCTTCAGATGCCTTGTGTGTGACTAGAATCAAGGCTTCCAATTCTGACTTCCTGCAAATGCACCACCTCAGAGGTGGCAGAGGAAAGCTCAACTTTTTTTTGAGTCACTGTCACCCACCTAACTCGGCACCCCCACCTGCACGGGTCCGTAGTAAGAGGAAGCTGGGAGGGGAACAAACACATGCCAATGTCATACGAGAATCCTAACTAGTGTCTTAAAAACTAGGCCAAATATTCGCCCTCCACACACACTCCAATCATTTACTATTATCTGCTTTCCTTTTGGCTGGGTTGAAAGTCAAAAAGCAAACCCCTCCTAAATGTACAAAAAAGAACTCCTGTGGTTATTTGCTCCTAAAAATAAATAAAGCTTAGATTACCCATCTGACAAAAGCTCAATGAAAACCAAGCCTTTGCAAGAGGTGGGAAAAACTGGGAAGACAGGCAAAGAATCAGAAAGAAGGGTTGCAAAATGCTCTTCCCAAGCAGTATTTGATTTCTTGAACTCTGCTAGTAATTTATTTTGTAGGGTTTTTTTTTAAACAAATATTGACACTTCCTTTCCACCGTTCAGTTCCAAGAGAAAAATCTTCACTACAGAGATGAAAATTCCATCTTCAAAAGAACAAGCACTGAATGAGTAGCCATGATCTTCACGGTGTGCGGTAAAGCAGTCACTCGGGGAGGAGGGGAAAAGCAAAAGATGTTTTATTCATAATTACCTAAGATTTTCCAGCTTTAGGGGAGAAAGAGGAAGTCTATTTTCAGTGACAATGATTACTCTAAAAATATTAACATGCAAGGGAAAATATTCATTCTGAGAGTTACAAATGTGCTGAGTTCTTTTTGTCTGAGAGTGACTTCACATTCCGGGGCAAAGGTAATCTAGGCAGATGCACTGGCCCCAGGGCTTCCAACTGGCACCATCTAGGAATCATGGGAGTTTAACTGAGGACATGCTGCAATGGACTGCTCAGGACCAGGGTCGTGCTGGGTGGCAGAACAGACCCAGAAACAGACAGCTGGCACGTTGAAAATATTTCATAGGCCAAACACATAAAGACTGAACTTGAAGCTCAATTATCTGCCTGTCACTGCTTCTGTGTATTTTCACAACGTCATACCAAAAAAACCACACAGGGGGTGTCATTTCCTCTTGATCAAGTTGCTGGCTCAAAGGCACACATTTGATGAGACCTGCCTACCTGTAAGAGCAGCAAACCACCCTGAACCCTGCTCATCACAAGTAAGGGGTAGAAGGAGATTCTATCGCAAGTGCTTATAGATTGTACCTACAGTTTGGTTTCATCCTTACTTTTACAGATATTAACAGGGCCTGGCATGTTAGCACAGTGGCTAAAGTCCTCGCCCCGCATGTGTGGGGATCCCATATGGGCACCAGTTCTAATCGCGGTAGCCCTGCTTCCCATCAAGCTCCCTGCTTGTGGCCTGGGAAAGCAATGGGGGACAGCCCAAAGCCTGGGCACCCTGAACCTGTGTGGGAGACCCAGAAGAGGATCTGGGCTCCTGGCTTTAGACTGGCACAGCACTAGACCATGGTGGCCACTTGGGGAATGAATCAATGGATTGAAGATCTTCCTCTATGTCTCTCCTCCTCTCCGTATATTTGACTTTCCAATAAAAATACCCAGTGGGATTTAAAAAAAGATATTAACAGGCATTGGCACTCTAATGAAAATCTTCAATAAACATTCAGGCAACAACTGAAGGTTGGAAGAGATTCACATTGTATAGTAAATAAACCATGTGTCAAGTGTCCCCGTCCCCTTACCAGCAGCTTTATCCCTCACTGCTCCTCCTGGATCATGTCCTGTTGGCCACTGCTGAGCCCATCTCCTGCTTTCTCCAAGTGTGGCAACTCAACAGGAGCAAGGCTGAGAAGACAATTGAGAGGGCCTGCTGCTGAATGTTTGCCAGCCTGAAAAAAAAAATTGAATCTTAAAGTTAGCAAAATGTATTAAACACTGACACCTGCTAGGAAAGCACATACTTAGTCTGTTCAGGTTAGGTTGTTTTAGATACATAATGGGGTATTTGTCTATTATTAACATTTATGGTTAGATAATCTTTGTCAAATCAATACAGCATATAGTTACTGTGTAACCTGTATAGCCGCTTTCTCTGTCCTAAGCATCCCTGTGGATCATCAGTTAGGCTTGAGGACCACCGATTTCATCATTGCCATCTGCTACTTCTCAACCTGGGTTTCAAAATATGGGGTACCGAGATGAGGTTCTCTGCTCAGGGATTCCAACTTAAAGGTTAGGATCATATTTTGTCTCACTGGTACTACTAATGTAAAGTGAAAAAGGATTTAGACTCATTAGTGCAAGCCCTTGAACATTAATTTGTTGATCACTGAATAAAAACTTGAGAAACAAAACTATGGGCCTGGCACAGTAGCCTAGCAGCTAAAGTCCTTGCCTTGCATGCACAGGGATCCCATATCGGTGACAGTGTACCGTGGCCCCGCTTCCCATCCAGCTCCCTGCTTGTGGCTGAGAAAGCAGTCAAGGAGAGCCCAAAGATTTAGGCGCCTGCACCCCACATGGGAGACCTGGAAGAAGTTCGAGGCTCCTGGCTTTGGATCAGCTGAGCTCTGGCGGTTGCAGCTTCTTGGGGAGTTAACTAGCAAACAATCTTTCTCCCTGTATCTCCTTCTCTGTATATCTGCCTTTCCAATAAAATGGGGGGGGGGGCACAAATCCAGGGAGTTAGATTGGAAATGGAGCAGCCAGGGCACAAACAAGGACCCATATGGGATACCCATCTTGCTATAGCAGTAGTGCATACTATATATATTAAACTACCCATAAATAAGCCCTGGTTATAATGGACAAGAGTGTTTATTTGTCTTTTCAACAGACATGTTTTCAAATCTTTTGGGAGAATTGTTGGATCATATGGTGATTCTCTAGGTACCTCTTTGATGTAATTTATCTTATGTAATTTATCTGGGTTCCAATTCTTCCATTTTGTTAGTTCACATGCTTTGAATTATTATAACCATCTTGGTAAGTGTGAATTGGTAGAAGATTAGGGTATTACAATTAATCATATGCAATAAACTGGATTATGTATAAAGTTATATCAGCCTGAAATAGAGAATGGTACAGGCAATGACAGAAAGCAGGGAAGCAACAATGGAGAAAGTCTCATTTACAGTACTCAGTGCCTGAAGGAATGAGGAGATTAAACAGTTAAATAATTCCAGAAAGGAATATTATATACCAAACAGGCATGAGGCAGGTCAAGTTAAGAAAACATTCATGTCTTAAAGATGCAGGTATGTTCATCAATTTATGGAACAAATGTGGAAAAAGGCAGTAGTGTTTTATCTTTATTTTTCTTCTGTCCTGTCTAGAATTAAAAAGAAAAAAGCATCTAAAGAACCCTCCTCCACTATTGGTGGAAATATGGGCTAGTGCAGCAACTATGGAAATCAGTATAGAGTGCTCAGACAACTGAAAATGGAGCTCTCCACGACCCAGCTATCCCATCCCTCCAACAGATCCCAAGGAAGTAAAATTTGTGTGAGAAAGCATCCCGTAACACTATATTTATAGCAGCACAATCTATATAGACATGGAAAAAAACCCAGATGGCACATCTATTCCATGGAGTACTCCTCTACGATTAATAACAATGCAATTTTACTATTTCAAACAAAATGGTCTCAACTGGAGACCATTATTCTCAGTGAAATAAGCCAACCTTTATGCAAAATACAAGTTAAAAGCGTACAGATAAACATGCATATGTATACATTTTCACAGATCACCGTGAGGAAGTGAGGATACATTGCAATATGCATCTCTAATCCCAGATAAAACGAGGATTCCCAATAAAACTAATATACTAGATGTTCTACCATTGCCTGTACCTACAAGTCATGATACAGAATGGGATTTGGGACTGTTGCTAAAAAACTGTACTATTGTACTAATATGGGGGCAGGAAGTAAATGCACAGGAAGGAGGAATCACTGTGCCTATGGAATTGTATTGTGAAAAACATTTTTAAATTTTTATTTATTTTGATGATCCTTACATAGCTGATTGGGGTGCAAAGGGTCAAGGGCTACAAGAAAGTGAGTAAAACCATTATTTCTACATTTCTCCTTTTTCCTTCCTGTATCTGGAGAAGGAGGTAGATAAAGGGAGAAGCCACACCCAACCTCCTAACCACCCCTGGGTGCCTAGTGTGGGGCATGCTCCGAGGGCACTGCTCAAGTGGTTTTGGTAGTTCAACAGTTCTAAGTTGCTGCCGATCTCACCATTCCAAGTACGATGAACTCTCTCCAGAACCCACTGGCTGACATAGTTCACCTTAGAATCTCCGTTTGCCCATCTTGTCACTGCTCAACACTTGACTAGGTACTTGATCAATTTGTTCTGTCCTCCATCCTCTGTTATGGTACTAAGTGACCTCTGCAGGTTCTAACAACTGTCATATCCTCCATGTGCAACTGACTATGTTGTCCACTGTGCCATCTAAGCCACTGAGAAAACCCAGTTCTTACACAGGTAACTCCACAATCAGATCATAGTACCTGCAATTCTCTCCATTATTGGAGTTCTGAGCACAGCGATTCAGTTCGAGGATCCCCAAAGAAACCTCATCTGAAGTGATTCCAGACCTGATTCTTGTGTGTGCTTGCCAATACAGGGTCCAGTACAGTCTGTTGCCCCAATCAGCTTATGCACACACTGGTGGTTGCAATTGTTCTGTCTCCAGTCTTGTCCTGACTGCAAACCAATGCGTGTTGCAGTCCAACCTGGTCCTCCCCACCACACACTTAGCTATATCAAGCAGTGGGGGGGCTACAGCCTAGTAGGGGGCGACATATAATAGTCCCCACCTGGAGTGCCTCCTGCTCTGGTTCCCATGATTGCCAGTATGTACGGTAGACTGATCCTGTCCCTCCCACATCCCATCCAGCTCTTGTGTATGTCAATGACCACTGAAGCCTAGCTCAACCCATCCAGCCCACACACCTGCTGGCTGGTGTCACTCTGTCTAGCCATGCCTGCCCCTAGTACTGGTTTCCATGCTCACCAATGGGAGTGGCAACCCAAGAAGGAGGTACCAACAGTTTCCCTACTGGGCCCATTCCTCCAGTGCCAGCTTCTGCCAGCTGATGCTGTGGTAAAGCCCAACCAACCCACATGTGCTATATTTATTGAAAACAGTAACAATAGGCTATTCAGTGAGCAACTCATTGCTCTCTGCAATTTTCCACAATGTCAACATCAAAAATAATACTCCAGTTCATTTCCCGGTGGCCCCCCTTCCCACACAGCACTCTGGGAAAGCAGCTGAGGGTGGCCCAACTTCCTGTGCCCCTGTACCCATGTAGGAAACCCAGAAGAAGCTCCTGGCTTTGGGTCAGCTCAGCTTTAGCCAGTGTGACCACTTCAGGACCTGACCAGCAGCAGAAAGATCTCTGTGTCTCTCCTCTCCGTAACTCTGCCTCTCATATAAAAATAAACCTTCAAAAAACAAACAGTTAATGTAACACATCCTCAATCACTGAATCTCTGTTGTGAACCTTGGTTAACACACACTGTATAGAAACCAGTGCCTGGGTTCTTACCTACCGTATTCATGTAAAGAGCCGGGAAAGGGGGAAACAGTTATCCTAGGCACTTATTATTCTACATATAAACTGGTGTTCAGTAATAGTTAGCTATCTTGCAGTGAAATCTGTTTGGGCAATAAATAAATTCTCCTTTCAATACACCCCTACATCAGATCAAATATCATGAACCTCTTCCATTAAGAGCTGGGCTATGAATCAAGTGCTGAATCAAGTCTTTCCCTTTCATGCTTCTCCTGTGCCCTCATGCATGCCTCTTCAAAGTTTCCTATCAATAGGTGTTTCCTTCCTGTTGCAATGCTGCATCAACCGTAATGCCCTTTCACATGACTTACCAAGTTCTAAAACAGCAGCTTATGACGTCAGCAAGGTATGCCCAGAGTTCTGCATACTAGCATACAAATGTACATACACACTCTTTCACATACAAACATCTTTCTTTCTGCAAGTAAATGATTCCAATAGGGCCCAACAAGAAGTGGTCTTGCAGAATGTCAGATATTTGGTGAGTTACTTATTTTTATTAAAGTCAGTTTTGTAGAGAGAAGGAGAAACAGAGAAAAGAGTCTTTCATCCGCTGGTTCATCACTCCCCAAGTTGCCACAATAGCCAGAATCAAGCCAGTGAGGAGCCAGGGGCACGTGGGTGCAGGGTCCCAAGGCTTTGTGCCATCCTCAACTGCTTACCCAGGCCACGATCAGGAAGCTGGAAGGCAAGTGGAGCAGTCAAGGACATAAAGCAGTACTCATATGGGATCCCGGCACATGCAAAGAGAGGACTTTACCAATTAGGCTACCACACCTTGCTACATAGAAGCTAAACTCTACAAATAAACCAGAAATCCTTGATTATCTACTCCATGCTCGTTTCTCAAAATAGTGACTCAAGGAAGTCTTTAGTAAGCTTTTGCAAAACAAATCTACTCTACTCAGGGGGACTTCCAATAAACAGTCTCAAAGAACTAAAATTGCTCAGCAAAGCAGAAATGTTAACAAGCAGTTACAAACCCTGTAGCATAGAATGCCTATTACACAATGGAATTGTTGAACAATCACAGGACCATGACGGGCACAGGTATTCAATTCCATTAGCACTATTATCTAGATTTTCACTCGATATAGTAAATTTTGAATAAATGGGCATTTTTAAAAGAGGCCTCTTTGAAAACCACAATAGATGGAAACTGAAAATATCAGGCCAGGTGACTGCACTGTGATGCTGTAGGTTATGTTTTCACCTGTGAGTCCCAACTGCCTGTCCTCTGATACAGCACCCTAATGGCCTAGAGAACAAGAGAACATGGCCACGTCTCTGGACCA